AAAGTTGCCGTGGGGATGATATTGGGCCTGTGTCAGTTGCAAAAAGGAGAAAGACGCGACGCTTAAGGGCGGAGGGGAAGACGAAGAGATGGCCGCCGTTAGGGAAGTCCGTGAAACCCTTCAATTTTTTTAATGCAAGATAATAATAATAAATTTGATAAGGCCGGAGAAAATGCGGCAAAAAAAATAAATAAATAAAAGAAAAGCTCCGAAAGTTGCGGGGAAGGGTTCAATGAGAAAGCGCTTAATAGTATTTGTAGATGTAGATTGTAGATTTCCAATATGCACATGTTTTAACTAATCGCTATCGCTGGTGACAAAAGCTATCAACGTCTAGATCGCTTGAGAGGAAAGCAATCAATATGTAATCGCGGTACTGAAAAGTGATGTAAATTGCGTCCCCCTAAAGCGATCAAAGATTTAATCGGCATCATCACAAGCGATCAATAAAATCGGTTTAAGGAAAGCGATCAAGGTAAATCGCTCTCCTCAACTGCGATTTCATTTGAACACGAGATTAGGATTGGTGCAATGGTTTTCCATTGATCGCTTTTGTTGGCGGCGATCTTATTAAATCACCATAGTCACATGCGATCAATATTAGGCACGAGCTAGGGTTAGATGCAGCTACCTAGCCTTGATCGCTTTTGAAGGAAGCGATCTTGCAATGATTGCTTGAGACTAACGCGATCTAGTGTTCATCTGAATTCCATATAAAAGATGACCATTACATCCTAACTCACTCTCAGTTCCCCTCTTCTCCATCACACTTGCAGAAAATCTCACTGACCACACGAGAAATTTTTCCATTTCCTTATTTTGACTAAAAGGTATGCATGACTTTGTTTAGTATGGTCACATACTCATGTTTAATTAGTCGTGTATTTATGCATCGTTTTAGTTATGCCAAATATTCGGATTAAAGGGTAGATTTCGAAAGTTAGTTATACTTGCGCGAGTATGAGTGGAGTGGTCGACCAAATTTTGCATGTTGTTTGCAAAAAAATACACGCAAATTTTACTTTTTATGATAATAAAACGAGAACACTTTGTGAATGAAAAATACAGTGATAACAGAGTAGGTAATTTTGTCTAACTAGTTGAAAGATCAAGTCTATCAAGTTGAAGAAAATCAGAAAGGAGAAATATAAATAGATATTGTTAGAAATTTAAATAAAATGAGTCAAGAACGGAGCTGTTGGGAGGCGACAGAGGGAGTCGGAAGTAGCATTACCCTATCGCGAATCAGATCATGTAATACATAACTAGACTAGTTCATAATACAGAAATATTGACATAGGCGATGACTACATAACCCCGATCAGTACACCTTGTTCCACTTTGATCAAAGTTCAAATCCCATACACAACAAATGGTTATGGTGGGAATCTCACAGTCTCTACGCGGGTATTTCTATCTACACCCTTCCTTGTTTTCCCATTTAGACATGGGTTTTCTAACATCCGAGTATTCTCTGGCAGCTCCCCGAGTCTCGATCTCCCTTCCAGATCATCGATGATCGATTCGCCCTTCGCCGTGGTGATGACAGGCTTGCCGGCTGAGAAAGAATTATGTCTACCGTTTGTTCCTGCGTCGCGTCGTGGCGAGGCTAAATCCTTAGTTGAAGCCCGCCGGAGACAATGGCCAAGGCAAACGATTTATTTCCTTTCTTCCTCCTTGGAGACTCTCTAATTTCGGCCTAATTTTATTTGGATGCCTGATTTGATTTCTTTCCAGATTTTCCCTTTTTGTTGGTTCCTGATTTCATTTCTAGATGCTGGAAAGTAGGGATTCTAGGAGATGGGCATTGTTGGATTTTGTAGGGAAGGGACGAAACACTGCTGACAGGTTTTAATTTGGGTTGGTGCCGTGTGGGTTCGATTGCAAGAGATTGTGTTTCTATTGGCATCTATAAACACATAGCTGCTGCATATGGGTTGTTTAACGATGAAGATGGAGCTCAAGGATACCTGTTTGCATCCTTAATCTTCTTAGTTCCTAAGAGTAGCTGTGCTTCGTCATTAGCTGCGACCTCCCTTTTTTTTATTATTAGGATCCATTGCTTCGCTGGGTGCTTATTGAATCTTGACATCGGCTCTTTCTGTAGCTTCTTTGATTGGTTCATTCATGTTACCATCGATGATTTGACAAGACCAATGCAGCAGCTCTCATAGTAAACTTTGCTAATAATAGCTTAGTCCCAGCTAGCATCTTATTGTCTTTTAGCAGTATAGATATGGTTATGCTATTATGTTTCTTTCGCCTCTTTTATTAGTTACTGAAAAGAGATTGCAGCCAGAACAACTTGAAACTTGAATAAGATATTGCAGGTAGAACAAAAGCTCCAGTTGGTGCAAGGAGCGACATGATGAGGAGAGTTCTGCTATAGTACTCTGGGCTCGGCACAACAGGGTCTCCGCCAAAGTTAAATGTAGATGCAAGGTGTTTATATTCACAAGTGTGGCTCTGAGATGAGAATAGCTACATGATGATATGAGGGTGTTCGGATTGAGTGGAGTGACGTGAAGTCGGAGCATTGGTGAAGCTCAAGCTACTTGAAGAGCTTTGACCGACGCGTTCAAACATGGTATGTTTCTTCTGATTTTAGAATTAGACTTCATGAACACTCAAGGCAGCACGTTGGAGTTGGGGTGTGGTGGGTGAATTGTGATGATACTGGAGAATAGATCTTCCCGCAAACTTGATTCCAGGCACAGCCCCAAGGAAGCTAACGAGTTTGCTCTCTAAAAGGCTCATACCTTTGTGTAATGGGTTGATGAATTCATTTCCTCCACTGGCTATTTGGCTTTTGTCCATGCTTGCTCACTGCAATTCATGATTAATTAAGTTCCTACGAGTTATTACTTACTTCCCACGATCGTACTCGTCATTTTGTGTAACTTGGTATTTTCCATGGATTTCATGTGCTACAAAATTGTTCTCTCACGTTTCATTATCTCATCCAATAACTAAAAAGAATTGAAAATTGAGAGCAGTAATGTTACAGTCGTGCAATGACTTAGCAACTAACTACATGTTTTTTCAGGTCGTATGCCTTCATTTTGTAGGGATAACCAACATTTCTTTTATTTCGTGTACTAAGTCCAGTTTTGAATTAGCTATTGCTTCTTACTTACGATTGCAAAGAGGAAGATATGCTTTCATTTATTTAGTTAATTTGTAGTGTTTCTTGACCTTAAAAAATTGTTTGGATAAATAGCACGAGAATTGGTGTTTCCACATTGGGACCATAGCGTGCTTTATATCGTTACACAAAATTCTTCATCTTTTGCTAAACCGCTTAGCAGGTCAATATTTTAGTAGAAAATTAAAGAGAAGAACAACTTAAATCACACCCTAACTAACTGATAATCAAATAATCACTTGCCACGTGCTGTCTGAAAAAACTATTATACTATTCATGTATAAATAAAAAAATATTATACTATTACTTAATAACGTTTGACCAAAAAACCTTAAACACCTAACTAGCTTGAACCCTGCCCGTTGGGCAGTTAGCTCTATTATTATATTTCGACATTGATTTATTATTTTAGTTTATGGCTATTGATTATATCCAAACTTTTAGGTTTATAAGTCCAATATAGAAATAGTACGTAGTAGCGTAGCTAAAATTTATGACCCTGTACAATGGTACACGAATTTGGTTTGTCAGAAAAGAAATAGACACCACACTTTACTTTAAATCATCACTTTGATCATAGCTCTAGCCTCAAAATCGTTCCATCTTTGCTAAAATCATCAAGCAATGTGACAAAATTAGGCATATATTACTTTCTACCATCTTATTCAACATTATTAAAGCTTGAGCCCTCCTAAGCAAAATGCAGAAGCAACAAATCAAGCAATCGTAGGTGAAAGCATATGGTTATATTTTCTTATCCGTCAACTCTGAAAAAATATCTGAAGTTCTAGAATCAAATCATCCTTGTAGAGGTCATCAATGATAGTGTCATATCTAGCAAAATAAGGGCGACAAAACAAATGTTGCATTTTTTCAAGCAACTCAAGACATGCATCAGTTTACCATCTTACACAACCCATTTAAGATGGAGTTGTAAGTGATGACATTGGGTTTATATCCTAAAGGCGCTATCAAACTGAACAACTTTAGAGTCACAATCAATGATATATGCATGGAATGCATAACCTAATTGAGGGTACCTTATGTAAAATGACAGTTGGGAGTTGTAGGTAGATGGCAAAGAAGAAGATGCTTGAGTTGGAGTCGAACTTGAAGGGCTAGAGTAATTCGTCGTAACTGCACAATGATCTAAGACATTTGCGTGTCAGAAAAACAACAATGGTAGACCAAAGCTATCATGAATCTGTTTATATGCTGCCCTGCTCCTCTAGTTCGAATTGATTAGATACAAAGCCTATAACAAAATGAACATAATATCATTATAGCAAGGATGGTACAAAATTTGGCGTGCTTTGTGAATCAATGGCGGACGTATCTTTGCTGCTAGATGTGGAGAAAATTTCCTCGTAGTTCTTGTTACCTTCTCACTGAAGGTCCCTGCAACGATGCACAGACAGCCTTTTATGCAGAACAACAAATAATCCAATGACCACCAAATCAAAGCAAACGAAAGATTGCTATCTGAAAATCTTATGGAATTAACCAAAAGAGAGAGCAGGGAAGCGGGGTCATCAAGAGGTCGAGAGCAGCGATGAGGTATGGTAGAAGAGCGCCCAAAAGACGGCGGAGATGAGATGAGAGCGGGCTGCGGGGTGGTCGCCTGCGGTGGCCGGAAGCAGAATTCACACTGTTGCGGTGCAGTTGATTAGAATAACAGGGAATAGATTAGGCTAGGGCAGGCGGGAGGCGATTGCAGTTATGGATTTTGGAGGAGAGGAAGCGGCGGAACAGTTCAGGGGAAGAAACAACGGTTTTCTGTGCTGAACGGGTTTATTAGAGGCTGACGTGGACAGTCTCAAATTGCCGGGAGGAGTACGTGGCAGTGGCTTAAATCTAAAAGCCCTTTAATATATTTTAAGATTTTTGGACGGGCTCAAATTTGAATTTTTATATTTGCCGCGGCAGAGGTTGTTTGAAGAAAGTGACTCCCGTGTATTCTATGTAATTACTAGTTAAAGACCCAGGAGAGTTTGGAGTTGACTCGCTTCAGATCTCTTGATTCATGACAACTACCGTCAAATGCAAAGAACATTTTATATATTCATAATGCATCTTCTTCAGCCGCTGAGGCTTTTGATGCAGCAAAACAGAGTTGAGTTTCTTAGCTACTCTTCTCTCTACCTTTTCATATCCTTACATCCTCATCCAAAGCCAGATCAGTTAACCGAGACATGTTTTTCCTTAAGCCAACTTTCCTGAGAGGATTATCCGGTTCAATACACCTGCTCTTGCTGCTGGGGTTGTTTTCCTCCCTTATGAGGAAAAAGTTCTGGTTGCGCGATCCTGGTGATGGTTCTGCGGAAAGTTTTTCAGGCAAGCACAAGAAGAGGTGTTTTTATCACAACATGAGCGTGCTCTGCTCTCTTGGTCTTTCATCGTTCAACTTATTGTTGACCTTATACAGTTATTTCAGCTGGTCCTGGAATGGGATATCTGAGGATGATGATATGGTGACGACCCTTTTCGATTTAGCACTCAGAGCTTGCTCTTGGGGTGCGCTTGCCGCTTTTCTGCACACCCAAGTTTCAGATTCAGCAGAAACAAAGTTTCCTCTTCCCTTGAGGATATGGTGGGGGTTCTATCTCTCAATTTCCTGTTATTGCTTTGTCGTTGAGCTTGTCATGTACAATCAACTCCATGCCGCTGCCCAGATTCTGCATTTGGTTTCTGATGCAGTCTCTGTGTTGGTCGGTCTGTTTCTCTGTTATGCGGGGGTTTTCAGATATAGAAGTAGTCATAATGCCTGTGATATTGATGACAATACACTTCTTGAAGAGCCTTTCTTGCATCACGATGAGTCGAGTGCGGAGGCAGAAAAATCGACAGGGGACGACATTGTCACTCCCTTTTCATCTGCTGGTGTTTGGGGCATTGTTTCTTTCTCTTGGATCGGTTCTCTGGTAGCTCTTGGGTATAAGAAAGCATTAGAGGTTGAGGATGTTCCTCGGCTTAATAAAGATGACAGTGTCTTCGGGGCATTCCCATCTCTTAAGGAGAGGATTGTTGAATCTGATGGGGGCACTACTATCACAGCTTTCAAGCTTGCCAAGGCATTGTTCCTCTCAGCTTGGAAAGAGATTCTGTTGATAGCTTGTCTGAGCTTGTTGAGCACGGCAACGTCTTATGTTTTGTATCTCATGATTATTTACCTTGTACCTCTGGATGAGGGAGGGGAATTCACGCATCAAGGGTATATCTTCTTCCCCATACTGTTTCTGGTCGGAAAGGTTGTCGACTTCCTGGTGCAAAGCCAAGTGCAGTTTAGGTTGCAACGCATTAGTATTAGGGCACGTTCAACGCTGGTCACAATGATCTACAACAAGGGCTTGACCCTCTCGTATCAGTCGAAGCATAGCGGGGAAATAATCAATGTGGTGACAGTGGATGCCGAGAGAATCAGTGACTTGATTGGGTACTTTTATAACCTGTGGTTTGGTATCTTGAATATTGTTTCAGCCTTGTCCGTACTATACACAGTATTGGGATTTGCATCTATATTAGTTTTCGCTACGATTGTGGTTATAATGAGGATGGGTTTCTGTTTGCTAAGATGGCAGAAGACTTATCAGGAAAAGGTGATGGAATCAAAACAGGACAGAATGAAAGAAACATCTGAGACGTTAAGGAACATGAGAGTTCTGAAGCTGCAGGCATGGGAAATGAAGTTTCTGGACAAGATCATCGGCCTGCGGAAGGCGGAGACTGTATGGTTGAGAAGATCTGCTTTCTCTTCTGCTTTCATTAGTTTTTACTTCTCGGCTGCCTCTACTTCTGTTGCTGTGGCTACATTCGCTTTGTATATGCCTTTGGACATCCCACTAGATTCTGGGGCTATGCTAGCAACGCTAGCAACTTTGTCGAGCCTTCAAGGTCCCATCTATGAGCTCCCAAAATCCATTTCCATGTTGTTTCAAGTAAAGGTTTCATTTGATCGAATTGTAGGCTACCTTAGTCTTGACGACCTGCCGGATGATGCCGTGACGAGGCTTAAAGGAGGGGCTTCTGATACTGCGATCGAGATCGTTGATGGGAGTTTCGCTTGGGATTCATCTTCACCAAACCCCACGTTGAGAGATGTAAACCTGAAGGTGTACCGTGGGATGAAGGTTGCTGTTTGCGGTACTGTTGGTTCAGGCAAATCAAGTTTGCTCTCCTGCATTCTGGGAGAGGTGCCAAAGATCTCTGGCTCTGTCGTGCTCTGTGGGACAAAAGCTTATGTTGATCAGTCACCTTGGATCCAGAGTGGCAATATCGAGGACAACATTTTGTTGGGACTAGAGATGGACCAATACAAGTATGATCGAGTACTCGAAGCTTGTGCACTGAAGAAAGACCTGGAGATGTTGCCATTTGGTGATCAAACAGAGATTGGTGAGAGAGGTGTCAATTTGAGTGAAGGACAAAAGCAGAGGATTCAGATTGCTCGTGCCCTCTACCAAGATGCTGACATCTACCTGTTTGATGACCCTTTCAGTGCTGAGGATGTTCATACTGGATCACATTTGTATAAGGTTTACAGTCAATTCTTTCTTTTATTCATAATCGTACCTGGCACTATGCAGCATTGCTCTTCCCTTCAACTTGTGCTGTTTCTTTTTGTATTGCTTGCTGCAGGAAGTTTTGCTTGGTCATTTGAGCGTCAAAACTGTGGTTTACGTCACTCATCAAGTTGAATTCTTGTCCGCCGCAGATCTAATCTTGGTGAGTACTTTTTCCATGTTTTAAGTTTCAACTAGTTAATTGCCTGCCTCATGCTTTTGATTCCAGATGATTTTGATTTCGAACTAATGAACTTCAATACCAACACTCAAAATGAACGTTTCCTCTTTTTGACAAGGTCCGGTCTGTTGGGCGAAAGAACTCAATTTGATAAGTGAAAGTTCAACCATTCATGTTTTATGTGATCACTCACAGCGAGAGAATAGGATGCTTTTATAAGCGATAGTGACCTTGATAATACTAGACCTACCTACGGTAAACAAAATGTAACATTATTAACAATTTTGTCACAATTTACTTGAATCATTGTTACCTTCTAAACCTACTTACAGTGAAAACTCCAATTGTACGACTTGGTCAGGTCATGAAAGATGGAAGGATAACTCAGAGTGGAAAGTACAGTGACATTTGCCAGAGTTCAGGGCCTGATTTCGGGCAACTTTTTGGTGCACATATGGTGATTTTGTCAGCAATAAACGAATGGAAAGCTTTCGAAAGTGCGGTAGGAAGTAGGAGTAAGGAAATCGCTGAGACGAGCAGCAGCAACCAGACTGAGCAGAGAGAAGGAAGCAAGGTTTTGGAGAATGTGATTCAGCTTGTTCAGCAAGAAGAGAGGAAGAAAGGAAGGGTTGGGTTCTCTCTCTACTGGAAGTATCTCAGCATGGCGTCTGCTGGTGCCATTGTCATAGCTGCAGAGATAGTTTTCCAGCTGCTCCAGTATGGCAACAAGAAGCTGCTGGTTCGGGCAACTGAAGCATCAGAGCAGGAAGAGCCTCCTTACCGTGCGCTCAAGCTGATATTTGTTTACGTGGTTTTGACCACCGCGGGCTTTGCTTGCCAGGTAGCCAAAACCACCGTTCTTACGGTTACAGCATATGAAACTGCTACTCTGCTCTTCAACAAGATGCACCAGTGTATTTTCAGTGCTCCCATGTCGTTTTTGGACTCAACCCCTACGGGGAGAATTCTAGGCCGTGTAAGTTTAATTAACTTGGCCTCTTTTTTATCTCTTATGCTATTAAATGTAATATGTGTAGTCTGTAGATCATACCCATGCTAAACTAGTTAACTGCTGCTTCTTTTGTAGGCGTCTACGGATCAAAGTGACGTTGATCAGAAAATTCTAGGCCAAATGCACAAAACTGCCTCTTCGATAATCCAACTTCTGATAGCCATTAAAGCAATGTCTCAGGCCGCGTGGCAAGTTCTTTTTGTATTGATTCCTTATATTGCTATCAGCTTCTTCTATCAGGTATGAGTTATATATGCATGAGAGACTTAAATCTTAAAAGTCTTTTCGTTAACATAATTGGTTTTTATGACATCTCTGATGAATTGAGAATATAACATATAAGGTAGTGTGATCGATTAGTCGGAGCATTTGCCATCACATTCAGCAGCCTGTTCTTAAGTTGGAGAAAAGGGAGACAGTAGTATGTTTCATGATGAATCTTCTACAGCACTCTCTATCTCCGTATCTGGCTGATCACAATCTACCACATCAAACGTCCTAGCCGACTACTAGCTAGGACAAGACGAACTAAACCGTTTGCCACAAGCTATCATCCCTAATGTTATCGAGTTGTGTTGTTCATCATGATCATATCAATTCAAGTTTTGTCACCACTGAAAAAAATGATAATGATAATAATAATCCAAATGTCTGTCACCAACTATTTATCTGTAGCAATACTACATACAAGCAGCACGGCAGCTTTCACGGCTGGTAGGAGTGTGCAGGGCTCCAGTTATCCAACATTTTGCTGATACAGTATCTGGAAGGATAACGATAAGGAGCTTTGATCAACAACCAAGATTCCGAGAGACAGCTATGAGACTTACAGATGTATATTCCCGCTCCAAGTTTCATAACGCTGCCACAATGGAATGGCTCCGTGTTCGCCTTAATTTTTTCTCGTCTATCGTATGTGCTATGTCTTTGTTTCTCATTGTCACTTTCCCTGACAAAGATCCATGTGAGTATATGCTCTGCTACCACCTTCATTTCCCATTACTACTCGTGCTTCAGCGAAGTTAAACATATATTTTCATCTTCCTTTTTTTTTCCTTTCCATTTCTTGGTCCCAAAGCTGTTACTCGTGTAGCCTGGATGTATGGAATCAACATATACTGGCTTCAAGAGTGGTTGTGGCAGATTAGTGATGTCGAGAACATAATTGTATCAGTGGAGCGAATTCTTCAGTACACTGCTATTCCCAGTGAGGATTCTCTGGTAGTAGAAGAGAAGCAACCAGATCCTTCTTGGCCATCACAAGGACAAATTGATATTAGTAGCCTACAGGTACAATTGTTTCCCTTTTTCTACCATTCTTTACCCTGAAAAACTTAGCATGCTAATCCATTGTGAACCTTTACAGGTTCGATATGCCCCACATTTGCCCATTGTGCTGAGAGGTCTTACCTGCACATTTGAAGGAGGAAAGAAAACAGGAATTGTGGGCAGAACGGGAAGTGGTAAATCAACCCTTATACAGACACTTTTCAGGATCGTGGAACCAACAGCTGGGCGTATTACGATTGATGGTGTCAATATCTCAGCAATGGTACTCCATAATTTGCGTTCAAAGCTCAGCATTATACCTCAAGATCCAACCATGTTTGAAGGGACTGTAAGAGAGAACCTGGACCCTCTTGGGCAATACCCTGATGAACAGATTTGGGAGGTTAGTTTATTTTTTCTTTTTTCGCTCTAATCTGCCCACCTTTGAGTGATGTTTTCATTATGGTTATTATGTGTTCCTCAATCAATCCTTTGTGTTTCAACTATGACAAATGTTAGGCTCTGGATAAGTGCCAACTTGGAGATGAAGTTAGGAAGAAGGAGAAAAAGCTGGATTCTGCCGGTTAGTTTTTATTTATGTGTTTGATAGAAAGGGTTTGCTTATTGACACTGTAATTAGTAAAGGTAAACAAATGATTTTAATTGCTGGCTTGCAGTGACTGAGAATGGAGAGAACTGGAGTATGGGGCAGAGACAGCTAGTCTGTCTTGGCCGTGTTCTGTTGAAAAAGAGCAAAGTGTTGGTTCTGGATGAAGCTACTGCCTCAGTAGATACAGCCACTGATAATCTGATTCAGCAAACACTAAGGCAACACTTCTCCGATTGCACGATTATCACCATTGCCCATCGAATAACGTCTGTTCTTGATAGTGACATGGTTCTTCTGCTCAGTCACGGTGAGTTTATCTGGACTCTACCCATTTACTTGGTCCGTATCAGGAAAAAAAGACATTAAGATTGCTGATGATGTAGTATCGTCGTTTTTGTGTCACCAGGCTTGATTGAGGAATATGATACAACAGCAAGATTGTTGGAGAACGAGTCGTCCTCGTTTGCTCAACTTGTAGCGGAGTACAGTGAGAGGTCGAAAGAACAGTATTGACCCAACCAAAGCTGCTTACAAGACCATCTACTGACTGCAGATAGCCATAAGTTGTGCCTGCTCTGCTGGTGATGATGATGATGAAAATGTTGGTAATGCTGTAGTAATGAAGGGGAGAGTTTTGGGAGTTACGGTTAGGCAAGAGTTTCTTCCCACTTAAGTTGCTGCATCTTAAGATGTTGCAGCTTTTATCTATATCCTTGTGAAACACTGAATAACATGCTTGACAACTATTTCGAGTTATTTCCCTCCCCTCTTTTCGCCCTGGTTAAACCTTGGACAACCTGACAGATCTGGCGGACAAACTAATTTAAATTTTGGCCTATCTTGACAGATTCTGGTGGACAAACTAAGTTGATCATCTTTCTTATTCTAAACTGACATAGCTTGTCTTCCATCAAGGGAATGGCATCAGCGGAAGTCGATTTTCAAAATTTGCAACAAATACCTTTGAGAGGTTAACGAGGCAAATAAAAAGATGCAGATGCACTGAGTACTTACCTCCTTACTCAGAAAGTAGCCACATTTGCAACTTGCAAGATCAAATGATAAAACCAAGACTGTTGGGTAGTTGCAGTATCTTCACCAATGGTTCCTGAAGAGCTGAACTCTGAACTTAAGATGGACTTGTTCTCATATCAGTGGAAAATCAACTCCTATCCCAGCCTCTCTAAATAGAACCAATCTACAGGCTGCTGTGTCGTTTAAAATTGCTGGACCGACCAGTTTGCAGACTAATACCATGTATACCACCAGTAATGAGTCACTGGACTAACTCCTTTCCATGACACCCATAAGTACTTTTCCTTCGGAGAAGACAATATCATCATCTAACATCACACACATACCACTGTGAAGCAAGAAAACACACCAGAAACATACCATTAAAGATGTCGAAGGGTTTGCTTAACAATCTTTCTCATTTATAACACCCTCAAAGTATTTTATTCAAGTACCACCAGAGCAAACAACAAACGTGCTAGCCAGCGGTTGCTGGTCTGGTCTTCAGTTAAACAACACGGGGAAAGCATTTCCGCTGCACTTCCTTATATTCTTGTACAAACACTCACTTTGCGCCCACCTTTGCGTAAGAGTTTTAGCAAACTGCAATGAAGTGGAAAAATTGAATGCCAGCTGCTGATTAATACCACGCCCACCTTTTGTTGTATGTTGCAGTCACAATTTTGCTTGCAAGACTTCAACTACTGCACTTTCGGTTCTGACATAAGTGATGAGATAGAAGCAATAAAAGAGTCACCAAGACAGAAAAAAATGCTCATTACATGCAAGAATTGAGCTCCCTCCAAGAAGATTTCCATAGACCAAGCATCAACGATAACCCAATATGCAAAGCATAACATGAAACGAAGTCTACATACTGCATTCTGAAAGGGGAGCAAACACTAGGGCAACCTTACAAGACACCCTGCCTAGTATTAAGGGTGTCTTCATAGTAGTATTCATAGGCATTTACATCGATCATAAAACAATTGGAATAATGTCACAATATTCAATACTGCACTTCGAGGAATCACCAATTGAGCAGAGAACAAAAAGATGATTGGGTACGTGGACTTCAATAATCAACAGATCATAGTATACTTAGGGGCTCCTGAACTAGAGCACAGCAAACTCCTATAATAATGAATCAACAGTACTGGAATACAGTGACACCAGACAATCACCTCTAAGGTTGCCTTCTAGGAGCCAACATGCTATCTAGAACTCTCAAGTCTGCATTTTGCTTCTGAAACAAAATATGGAGAAAACATGTCTTCGGTTTATATACCTTAATGTAGAATACTAGTCTTGTTTCCATCAAAAAAAGAATACTAGTCCTGTAGTAATCATTTTCAAGTCCCCTTATAGTACTACGACTCCATCAAGCACTTCCAGTGCACAGAATAATGTAGAAATTGGTGAATCGGTCATGGAGGGAACATTATTGTCAGATCAGTATCTTGCTTTCTGAACCAACAAGGACAACACATTTTCAAGCTTAGTGGCAGTATACCAGTGTAGTAGTACTTATTTCTGAGGAGTTCTCTCAGACTCCATTTAGGACTTCCACTCTGCGAGACAGTAGAAAACCAGCAAATTTGAGCTGGAGACAAGGGCAACTGATGGAACACAAACATTCCCATCTCATTTGGGTTAGAACTGAGCATCACTTTAAGTAAGCAAAACTTGCTTTAAGGACTACCAATCCATAGCTTACAGTCCCCACCCATGATTGTGATTTGAGGGAAGGATACTAGAACAAATTCATGAACAACTGATCATTTCAATTCAATTATAACCAAATTCATACGCAACTTTTCGCACCCCTAGTTTGATACAAAGGGGCAGCTGGAATCAGTAGATGATAATATCTAAAAGTTCCCTTTTGGACAAAAAAAGGTGACTGGAAGCTGGAATCAATAACTGATAATATCTCAAAGTTCTAATTAATGGCTCCATTTAGGACAATGGAAAAACAGTTTCAAATACAGAAATCACTTAATCTGAAGCAACTGATATGACTAAACCAATCATCTAAATGTAGGTACCATACCACTTTTTGATTGTCCTGTTTCGTGTTGAACATCCAAAAGTGCCCTGTAAACTACTCCATTTTACAGCACTGTCAAGCTTGGAACGTGGAAAGGAGAGGTCATTCCATGACTAGAGCACTGTCAAGCGTGGAAAGGAGAGGCAAACTCAACAACTCAAAACACAATTCCTTCGGGAACCCCAACCACAAAAATAGAGAACCACCACAATATGCAGCAAAAAGATCAACTACTACCTCAATTCTAGGACAGCAGCAAATTGTAACTTGGACAGGATCAAGGCTAAGCAAAGCTGCTGTTTGCGCCAATATATTCGTCAATACAGAATTGCCAAAAGTGAACATTTCTAAGAGTTTGGAGAGTGATACTCAATAGGTATCAACAATAAATGGCAAGGCAATAAGATCAAAAGACAACAGTTACATGAGGCATAAAGTAAAAAAGCTGAACTTCCAAAAATAACAGCCATCAAAAGCAACCATTTTACATAGTGCAGCTCTGGGAGAACTTCAACACATGTACGATCCAATTTCTTTACTTTGAAGAAAAAACTCGACTCAATGAAAACAATATTTCATTTCATCATGTGCTATATTTGAACAGAAGGGAACAGTAAGGTTGTTAGCACCACCTTAATACCAATAATATCATAACAGAATCCGTCTTCCAAAATTCTAATGTAAACTAGCTTGTAAGGCAACAGTATCGTAAATGGAACAGGATCCAAGCTAGCAAAGCTGTGCATTTTAAGACGCCAACAGACTGAACAGAGCTATCAATGGAGAATTACCAAAAATTAACAGTCTTGCTAGGGAGACGGTAAAGTGATTCTCAATAGGTACCAGCAATAATTGCAGGGCGCCAAGATCAAAGATAGCAAAGCGTCTTTTAAGAAGAAACCATTTAAGAGTTACAGCTCGAGAGTTCCAAAAAATGTAGGGCCTAATCTCTTACTTGGAAGAAAAAGATGCCGATTTTATGAATTTCAGTCCATCATATGCTATAAAAGAACCAATAGGAAATCATTAGAAGCACCATAACACTGACAAAATCATATCATCATCCTTCTTCCTGACTTCATAGTGTAAACTAGCTTAGAGGGCAACAAAAACCAACTTGTAACAGAATCAGACCATAATCCTTCCAATTTAGATATGCCTCCAGAATCATACTAGCTTTAGAATGCAGCAAAACTAGAGAACATGAGTCTCTTGAATCAAAATTATTTAATTGAATGGAGAAAAAAAGGAACACATGATTGAGTACAGTTCAATGATTTTAACTTTGCAAAATCAAGAGACAACTCGGTATTATATCCAAATGCCTCAGTTCCACATGACCAAACAGAAATTTAGGGCAGAAGAGCAACTGCGACTATTGATAGCTCTCTTCTAGGACCCCACTTTATCATGTTAAAGCTTCTTGACTTTAAGATGGGGCAAGATCAACCACCATTTGTACAAAGGGACTATAGGGAGTGAATTGATTTATAATCGATTGTAGGAACTGTTTCTCCATAGGCATCGTGTGCTAATTAAAGAATCATAGAGAAAATAGTAGGATGGGGGCAAAAAAGCAACCAGGACTAGTCATAGTTCCCATCTAGGACCCCATTATCAAGCTTTAGAGTCATAAAAAATCAAAGATGGGGCAGAAGGGCAACTAAGCGTAATCATGGTTCTCTTTTAGGACCCTATAAGAATATATATCAAAGAACAAATCACAATGACAAACAAGGCAGAAGAGCAACTCTGACTAGCAGAATTCTCTTCTAGGACCTCATTGCCATGCATATTAGAGAATCATGGACTGATGGACAAACCGACATTTGGGCAGAAGAGCAACTGTGACTAGTCATAGCTCTCTTCTAGGACCCACTTTTTCATGTTAAAGCTTCTTGACTCTAAGACGGGGCAAGATCAACCACCATTTGTACAAAGGGACTGAACTATAGGGAGTGAATTTATTTATAATCGATTGTATAAACTGTTTCTCCATAAACAATATACAAAAGTATCCCAACAGGCAACATGTTAACTCATAGATCTTATTGTCACCGTAATACCGTATGCTAATCAAAGAACCATAGAGAAGATGGTAGGATGGGGACAAAAGAGCAACCAGGATTAGTCATAGTTCCCATCTAGGACCCCATTATCAAAGATGGGGCAGAAGGGCAACTAAGCCTAATCATGGTTCTCTTTTAGGACCCTATAAGAATATATATCAAAGAACTAATCACAATGACAAACAAGGCAGAAGAGCAACTCTGACTAGCAGAACTCTCTTCTAGGACCTCATTGCCATGCACATTAGAGAATCATGGACTGATGGACAAACCGACATTTGGGCAGAAGAGCAGCTGCTGCGACCACTCATAACTCTCTTCTAGGACCCCGCTTTATCATGTTAAAAACTTCTTGGCATTAAAACGGAGCAAGAGCAAACGTGTGTAAAATGGGACTCAACTATACGGACTGAAGTTTTTTATAAATCGATTGTAGGAACTAGGAACATTCACCTCACTGTTTCTCAACATAGACACTATACGAACCGACATGATCAATTGTGCATACAAAGAGGGACGGACTAAACAGCTGACATGGTAACTCATAGATCTTGCATTCAATGTCACTGCCCACTGGACTTTCTCGAAATCGTGTACCAGCAAGATCAGAGCGGTTTTTTCAGAGAGGACAGGAAAGCTCTCGAAGACCCATCGTAATCGCTCCCACTAATTATCCAGCCCAGAAAACGAAAAGGGTAGGTCTGAAACATACCTCAACAGGGAA